AAGCATGCCGACCTTCCTCTCCAGCAATGGGTTTCTGTAGAGTAAGCCCTAAAATAGGATGGGCCTGCTTAAAATGATAAAAACTCTCCTATACCAAAGGAAAGAAAGAAAACAATCTTCAAAAAGGATAACAATCCTGGCCCTGTCTGTGGGTGTAATACAGCCCTGCCCTCTTTAAAGTGGCCTGTGCTTATGCAACATCGGTTGTGTCCCTAGGCATGAAAAAGGTTTCTCAGTCTTGATGGAAGCTTTAGTTGGATGGTAGGTTGGCCCAGAATTCATTTAAATTATCAGTTGTTTTCCTTGCTTGGGCTGGCAGCTGACCCAGTTGTGAGGAAGAGAAATCCAGACTGAATATTTGAATTTTTGGCTATTTTTTAAATGTTTGCCTGAAGAAGGCTTTAAGAGCAAAATAATGTGAACATTAGCTTAAATAACCCCAGTGAGCCCTCTTAGCTCTCCAAGGTGGACTTTTCTAGATGTTTAATATATATTCAACATTGTCTATTTGCCACAACTTATTTTCCTTTTCAACCTTGCAGAGTATCTCCCAAAGCATCCCACCCAAGTTATTAAATCCCTATACATATTCCTGTTCCAACTACCAAAGATACCAGAGTGGCTGTGGTCCTTGGATGACTTCAATGTGAGTAAAGGTTAGGGAACGGTCTGATCGTTTGTATCTCCTTGCCTCAGGAGTATAAGCTTAAATTGGTATAGTCATTCCTGGAGGGACCTGCGGATAATTTCTTTAAGCCTGGGTTTGTCATGTGGCTTTCTCCCTGGTCCCTCTGCCAGGTTCCCTGGTTTTATCTGAACCCTCTGATGCTGTCTGTTTTGCTTTAAAAAACTTAAATTCTTCCCCTCCACAGTGCTTCACGTGAAGCTGTTCCATTTTTTCAGCTTGTCTGTACAGAATAGGCAGGGATGGGGCAAGAAGAGGATGTTTCAGTGGCAAATGGGAGGCAGAGACTGGGAGGCAGAGGTGAATTTGTTTCAGGAAGGACTTGGGGATAAACAAGGGAGAGACCTAATTACCTGAGGGATGTTTTGAAATGCCTAGAGATTTTAATAAGTTTAGAAAGGGAAGGGAGTTAGGAATCTGCTCTATATTTCCCTCCCTTCTGCATAGAGCTGCTGTTGCTCTGATCCTCCGTTCTTTATTCTTTCCAGCCCAACACAACATTGGGAAAAAACCACGTAAAGGGGCTTGGGAGTCTGCCTGTCCATCTGTCAGCAGGATAACTCTCTAGAAACTGAACAGAATGGGACCAGATTTAGTGGGGGAGGGGTGGGGGGGAGAAGCTGGCAAAAGGAAGATTGAGTTCAAAAATGGGGATGATCCAGCTGTGGGCTGCAGAGAAAAAATACCCCCATCCTGTTGACTGCTCCATGCGAGGCCCCCTTGGCTGATCCTTGCTGGTCACGCAACCCAGTGAAGAGTATGTATCTGCAGCTTGCCCTGCGCTTCCCAGTGTACACATACAAACACATGCAGATAGTACAGGAGGGGAAGGCAGAAATACAGTTACAATATATAGCTTTATTTCACAGAAGCCTGTGGCTGCTGTGGGTGGAGGGGTTAGAAGAATTCTAGAAGCCCTGCTCTGCATGCTTTCCCTTCCTTACTGAGTGTTGGGAAACCTTTAACTGCAGCCAACACATCCATACTTTTGGGTGAAGCCATAGAGGCAAAGCAGCGATGCAACTTCCTCAAATATCTAGCCCCTTTAAACCAAGTTCTTGGAAGATGAACACACCAGATTAATTCATGCTGCTTCAAGAGATCCAGTGGGATGTAATAATGAAGGTGTTGGACTAGGGTTGCAGGGAGACCCCAGTTCAGATCTATCTTCAGTCAT